ATCCTCCACTCTCTCTGAAAAGCAATGGAAGAAATATTCTTGGGTGAGAATTAAAAAAATAATAATGAAACCCTCTCCCTGAAAGTCACCCCAAGTATTCCTTGGATGATTGCCTTTACATATCCACACCTCTTTGTGCTGTTTCCACTGGGAGAATCACAGTAGATAGCATGATATCACCTTAGGCATAAAGTAAACATAGGATGGGCTAGAATGGTGCAGGTGAACATAACTCTCCAATTGGGAGGACTCCATGGTGTAATGGTGTGTACATTGTGTCACTCAGTGTGCACAACAATATGAAAATGCCAAATAACATATTATAAATATTTAAAGGTAAATCCTCTCAAATGACATTAAACACATAAGACACCACAAATACCTGTGGTGAAAATCAATAGGGCCTTGGCTGGTGTGGCTCAGTTGGTTGGAGCATCATCCTGTACATGGAAACATTTGACTCTGGGTCAGGGCACATCCCCAGGCTGTAGGTTTGATCCCCAGTTGGGGTGCATACAGGAGGCAACGAACTGATGTTTCTCTTTTTCTCTCCCTTCCTCTATCTAAAATCAATAAAAATACATATCCTTGGGTGGGGATTAAAAAATAATAATAATAAAATAAGATCAATGGGAAGTCTCAAATTCCAGAAAACGATATACAAACTCATGACCACGTTTTATACACACATTTGTAACAACTGTATAAATGAAGATGAAGCATGCCTATATCTTTATCTCTATAGTGAATCTTTACTGTGAATAAAGCCACACCTAGTGAGGGGCTACAGAGTCTCAGGCAGGTGGTCACAAGACCCGAGTCCCTTTGAAGTTGCCAAAATTGTTACTGAGCAAGGGCTCACTGCCTTACGTGAATAGAAGCCAATACTATGGAATGAACTCCTGAGAAAAGAAAAGGCTTTTTGTTGCATATTTGGCCAGCATAGAGACAGGAGGCAAGGCTCAAATCTCTCTCTCTCACTGAGGTTTTTGGGTTACATTTAAAGGAGGAAGGGTTTATGCATATTCTATAGTTACATTGGTTTAACATAATGAGGGCCTAGTAGGCAGGTGCTGGGAGATCAGGGCTTTTCATACCTCCCTTAACTTTTCATAACTCAGGGGTGTTTAGCCTGCAATCCCCAGTGGACTTGGACCTGGTGACTTTGGAAGGTTATTCTATGGCAACCTTTCAGAGCGCAGGACGATCTCAACCAACTGAGTCACTCTGGGCTGCAAATACATCTTAAGAAAATTAAAAGAAAGTGGTTTGTTTAAGCTGTACACTTCTAGATAAGCAAAAAGAGACAGGCTAAGCTGGACAAGGAAAGTTATAGAATGTTTATGAAAAGAAATCTTGAGACAGGAAATTTTATATACGGTTAAGCAGAATAAGATTGGAATGAATTTAATAAAGTAAGTTAATTTCAGTATCAAAAGTAAGCTGATACAAGACTCAGTTTTTTTCACTGTTAAGAGGACAGTTTTCCTATATTATTCTTTCCAGATATGAAAAGTATCCTGCTTAGAAAGCAAAGATTCTGTGTTTTATTAAAATAGTTTCCTGTGTTTTACATTTTCTTAATCAGGAACTTGATTACTCAAGGACATAATCTTTTCAATCCTAAGAACTAAAGTTTTGCTAACAATAGGTAACCTATGATTATGTTTGATATCTCTTACTGACACTTTGGATAAGTGGATAATTTAACATCATCTTTTTGGTCAGGTATGTTTGACAAACTCCTCAAGGTTCAGGCTTTAGAAGGAAACTTTTTCTTAACCTGGAAATGGCTCTGGGTTATTACAGCAGGCCCCTGAAATGCCTCAAAAATGTGTTCTATTCTTATAAAAGAGAAATTTTAAACTAACTAGGTCTATTTGATATACTAAAATTACATGGTAAGATTTGTCAAATAAAAAATTGTGTTTTATTTGTATACATATATGCTTTTTTTAAATCTTCACCTGAGGACATATTTTCCATTGCTTTTCAGAGAGAGTGGGGGAAGAGAGAGAGAAACATTGACCCGAGAGAGACACATCGATTGGTTGCCTTCCATATGTGCTGCAACTGGGCCTGGGATTGAGCCTGCAACCTGGATATGTGCCCCTGGCCTAAATCAAACCTGAGACCCTTCAGTCCTCGGGCTGACGCTCTAACCACTAAGCCAAACTGGCCAGGGCTACATATATTCTTATTACTAAAATAAATGTTCTCAAGATTATATAAAAATCTCCAATCATCTACAAAATCCTGATATATTTTCTTTTGTAATAGTAGTTATCTTAAAAATATAACGTTACAGAGAAAGGCAAATTTCTTTGTCAACTGAATTACAATCAAATCTATAACTGTTTCATTTTGAGTTTTTTTTTTGTCATTTACAGACAGTCATTGTTTTACTCTGATGCTTTGACAAATGTTTCATCTTCAGAAAGATCAATGGAGAGGACTCTGACTTCTTCTAAAATACAGGTCTCTGAGAATAAACTTTCAGATCATACCTTTAAATTGGATAAAGATTTATAAAACTCTAAGGAATAACTGGATTTGTGGAAATGCTTACAAATGATCAAGATAAATAAGAATTGATTATGTAAGACTGAATGAACTGAGGATAATAATAATTTTTATGATTTTTGTTTGAAATATTGCTTTTTAAATCTTTTATTTTTTATATATAAGGAAACTTGTTTCTCTTAAACTACCTATAACTTAGAGCAGTTTGGTAAATTACACCTTTGTAAGCAGAATTGAAACATTTATCATTTTCTCCCTACCTGATCCCTCCAGAATTTGGAAACTCTTAATGAGTATTTTTATTTTCATGGCAAATGGTTATTTGCATAAATTCAATAGGAATCTGTTATCTTGGTAACAGAATGCAATTTTAGCCTGGCTTTATTACTAAGTTTTTGACTAAAATGTCATGTTTGACAGAGACATGCATAGACTCAGATATCACGAGATAGCCTTAAGGAATTAAGATTGACCTTGGAAGGCAATAAACGCCCCTTGGGAAAAACAGCCTAGTACCTTGCTTATATCACTCTCAGCAGTCATTCCAGGTGAGGAATAAAGGCTGCTTGTTGGGAGATGCAAAGAAAGGACCTCAGGATATGTTGGAGACCTCAAGAGAGGAATTCATCCAAACCTACAGGCATTGCAGGCAAAGTCTGATGGCAAGTAGGTGGCTTGATCCCCAATAGGGGGTGTGCAGGAAGCAGCTGATGGATGTTTGGTTCTCACATTATTATTTCTCTTTCCCTCTCCCTTTCTCTCTCTCTAAAAATCAATAAAGAATCTTTTTAAAAAACCAACTCTGTTGAAGAGATAGATTTGACCCTTGCATTCTGTCTCCTTGCTGGCCAACTGTGCAATAAAAAACCTTTTCTTTTCTCAAAGGCCAGTGCCATAGTATTGGCTTCTTTGCAAATACTCACTTCTATGGTAAAGAAGTGAGCCCTTGCTCGGTAACATGACAAGAGTTTTAACTATAAAAGAATAAACCAAATGTGCCTGAGGAAAAATTACCTGAACTTAAATGCACATGATAAAATTGACCCATAAAGTATAATGATTGTGATAAAGAGCTACTGAAACTTGAAGAAAACATATTCAGTCAGTAGGGTCCATGGAAGGAGCTAGGGCTTATGGATTTCTTGCACTGTATGTAACCGTGCAAACCTTACACTCAAAAACCTATAGCTCTATGGTTCTAACACCTTGTTCTTTTAACGTCCATAAATACTCCTGTCTTGGCACACAGGCCAGAATGTGCATGTGGCTTGCCATGTCTGCACGCACTGGGTTGCAACCTTTTCTTTTTCCTGAATGAACCCTTTTTGGTGACAAAACACCTAGCTGATACTATTTTTTTAGTTGATCATTATATAAAGAGATTTGCAAAATTTATTTGAAAATCCATAATTATAACGGGACATTTTTAACATACCTTCTCAGGAAATGAAAAGCTCAGTATTTGATAGCATACAACAGCTGAGAAAACAGTTCATAAAGTATTTCTATGAAACACCTATGGAAGAGTTCATTTGACAAAAAAAATACACATACAAGCAAACATAATTGAAAACATACTGACCCCCAATACTGAACAAATAAAATACATTATAAAAATTTTAACCTACCTGTATATAAGAAATACACTTCAATTCACCATGGATCTACCAGGCTTCAAAATGGTGAGAAAATATTAAATATTTAATTAAAAAGGAAAACTACTACCCATTAATCTTATGTGTTATTGTTGGGAAAAAATATATCTCTCAGAGTTATCACACCTGACTATTCATTTCTGAAAGTAATTAGTAGAAATCCATACTCCAATGATGCACTTTAAAAAATGTTTAAAAGCACAGTATATCTACAACTTTAATAAGAGCTCTTTCATGTTGAAAATTTTCTGGCACATTATGCATAGATTAATTTCTACCAAGCTTTCTCATGTTACTAACATTTCTATTTATCTAACATGGGAGTTTTCATATGTAAAAATGTGGGTCAATTCAAGCATTTCCCATTGTTTACATTCAAGGGGTTTTATCCAGTGAGTCCTTTTGTACTTTTGATAGGAAATGGAATAATTGAAGCCTTTCCCACATTCTGCACTTTTATATAGTTTTTCTCCAGTGTGCCTTGTCATGCATTTTCTAAAGATTGTGATCAATGAAGGCTTTTCTATATTTCTTACATTCATGGACTTTCTCTCCAGCGTGAGTTCTTTCACATGTTTTGAGGGAACTGTGATCTCTGTAGGCTTTACCACATGGTGTACATTCAAAGGGTTTCTCTCCAGTGAGCTTTCTTTCATGTTTTCAAAGATAACCAAGACAACTGAATGCTTTACTACATTTTTTAATGCATATGATTTCTCTCCAGGTTATTCCTTTCATGGGTTTAAAACTTGTCAATATCTGAAGGCTTTTCCAAATTACTTATATTCACAGAGTTTTTCTCTAGACTGTCATTTTGTACCTCTCTGAAAGGTACTGCTATGTCTGTGGGCTTCCCCATGCTCTTTATATCCACAAGATTTCTCTCCAGTATGAGTTCTTTCACATGTTTTTAAGGAACTGTGACCTTTGTAGGTTTTACCTTCATTGCTAACATTCATAGGGTTTTTCACCAGTGTGAGTTCTTTCATGTATTCCAAGATCACTGGGATACCTGAATGCATCATCACACATCTTACATTCATAGTGTCTCTGCAGTGTGAGTTCCTTTATGTATTTGGAAATCCGTGTGAAAACTGAAAGCTACACCACATTGCTTACATTCATAGGGTTTCTCTCTAGTATGTGTTCTTTCATGTTTTTGAAGAGAACTGTGATCTCTGAAGGCTTTACTACATTGCTTACACTCATGGGGTTTCTCTCCAGTATGTGTTCTTTCATGTTTTTGAAGATAACTGTGATCTCTGAAAGCTTTACCACATTGCTTACATTCACAGGGTTTCTCTCCTGTGTGAGTTTTTTTGTGTATGTGTAATGAACTGTAAAATTTGAAGAATTTATTACATTGTTTACATTCATAAGGTTTCTCTCCAGTATGTGTTCTTTTATGCTTTTGAAGAGAAGTGGGATAAGTGAATGCTTTGCTACATATTTTACATTCATAAGGTTTCTCTCCAGTGTGAGTTCTTTCATGTATTTGAACATAACTGGAAGAACTGAAGGCTTTACTACATATTTTACATTCATAGGGTTTCTCTCCAGTGTGAGTTCTTCCATGTACTTGAACCTGACTGGAAGAACTAAAGGCTTTACCACATATTTTACATCTATAAGGTTTTTCTCCAGTATGTGTTCTTTTATGTTTTTGAAGAGAACTGGGATAAGTGAAGGCTTTGCTACATATTTTACATCCATAGGGTTTCTCTCCAGTATGAATTCTTTCATGAGTTTTTAAGGAACTGTGATCTCTGTAGGCTTTACCACATTGTTTACATTCATAGGGTTTCTCTCCAGTATGAATTCTTTCATGTATTTTCAAGGAACTGGGATCTCTGTGGGCTTTACCACATTGTTTACACTCATAGGGTTTCTCTCCAGTATGAGTTCTTCCATGTGCTTGAACATGAATAAAACAATGGAAGGTTTTACCACATATTTTACATACATAGGGTTTCTCTCCTGTATGAATCCTTTTGTGTTTCTGTAAGAAACTGTAAGATGTGTAGGCTTTACCACATAGTTTACACTCATAGGGTTTGTCTCCAGTGAGAGTTATTCCATGTAATTGAAGTGAACATGGACAACTAAAGGCTTTCCTACTTTTCTTATGTTTATAGGTTTTCTCTACACTGTGACTTCTTTCATGTTTTTCAAAATACTGGAGATTACTGAAGGCTCTACCACACTCTTTACACTTATATGGCTTCTCTCCATATTTTTGAAATTTATATGCTTTGTGTCCAGTGTGACAGCTGATGTGTCTATTAAGGGATGAATGATGCATGAAGACTTTTCCACACACACTGCATTCACATGGTTTCACTCCAGTGGTTTTTTTGTTCAGATTGTGATTTGAAATAAGGCTGAAGTTTTCTTCACATTGACTACCCTCTTTACTTCCACAGACTTTCTTTACCATTTGACTTCTGTAAAAAAAAACAAGAAGCATAGTATTAGTGATTTCTTTATTAATGATTTTATATTCATTATATTTATTATGATTTATAGGAAAAGTATAGGTATTCTTGTCTGAAATTAAATATACTGAGTGTTCTCTAAGAAGACTTCACCCTTGCTATTATCAAGCTGTGATATTCATATGTACAGTTTATTGTTAATACTGTTTCCAAGTGAATTATTTTGTAAACACTGAGCATGTATGGTACATTTAAGAAAGTATTTTTGGTAAAAATTTTCTAAGAAGACATTTGAAGCAGGGTTTATTAGTTTTGTTTGCTTCTTTTAAAAATTTCATAACATACTATAATTCTAACACAAGACACTGCTTTCTATTGTGCAACTCACCGTAGTTTTCTCCCCTGGTTTTGATAGTAATTTTCAATGTCATTTTCTTCCCATCCTTTTCCTAAAACGCAGACCCAGAAAAATGAATCCAAGCATCATATTATAGAAAAAGAATTAACTTCTAGATTCATGATAAGCTGTGACCATGCCAAGTTAATTTACCAATGTCTTCCCTCTCCACATTACACATCTTAGAACAATGCTGATGAGCAAGAAACACATATTCTCTAATTGACAAATGAAGGAATGTTGTCATCCTTACCTATGGAGGCCAGGTTCCTGAAGGTTTCCCTCATCACATCTCTGTATAGTTTCTTCTGTGAAGGATCCAGTAAAGCCCACTCTTCAAGACTGAAGTTCACAGCCACATCCTCAAAGGCTACTGAGTCCTAAAACATCCCAATATGTGTAGAGTAGGATGTGTGAGACTGATAGCACTCGACCTCCAGGCTCCATTTATAGGAAGGTTACATATGATTCTCTTGTCTTCAAACATTTATTCTTATGACTTGATCATCAGAAACTTACTCTTTGTCCACACTTCTTCATAAATTTAACATAATCATGAACACACGGAAATGACTTACATATTGTTACTGGGATCACATTACCCCCCTCCCCATGGCAGGGTTGAGAGAATGTTTGGAAATGACGAAATGCTATTCAAATGAAACAAGCATTATCATTTTAAGACCATCAATTCCTTGTGAGAAAAATTCTTTCATCTTCTTTATTACTCACCATTTTCAGCACTCTATGAGGCAGAGGTTTAAATCTGAATGAAGTTTTAATAAATAGAACATAGTGAAGAACTGTAAGCTTTTCCTTCTATTCCCATCACCAAACATGAGAGTCCAGGAGGCCTGTGAAAATCACTTTCAACAAAGCCAGCTGACCATGTCATCCTAAAGTCCTCTGGGCCTTTCCCAGTAATCAGGCGCAGCTGGCTGAATGTAAAAATGCTTGTAGAAAAGCAATGCTTGTAACTTGTGTAGTATTTATCAAGACCCAGTTATTTTCTCTCTCTGTTCAATTTAACAGGGCTAGAAAGTTATTTGGAACTTATAGCTCAGACACAAGGAAGAAGGTGTGAAAAGTTAGAGTACAAAATCCCAATACTCATGAGCTCAGGGCTTCTTCCAGCCAAATTTTTAGAACATATAGTGAGAGAATTGCCCATAGGAGTTCTATCCAGTAACCCTAACAGTGTACCCTGGGACTTGCTGTCCTGGAGGAAGAGGCTTAAAGCTGTATATTGTATGGGAGTTCATTTAAGTCCACATAATTTAATAACGAATTTGCCAAAGGTTATAGAACACATAAAGGAACAGTGCTTTCCTCTAAAAGAACACAAAATTTCCATTTTCCTAATTTTAGGAGAAAAAGTTTTCCCCACAAGTCATTCTAGAGGCTGCCCTGCCATGTTCTGGCACTAAACTTAGGAGCTGCCATACTCGATCTCATAAAGAAAAAGAAAAAGACGTCTGGTCAGTGTGGCTCCATGGTTATAGAGTCAGCCTGTGCACTGAAGAGTTGTGGGTTTTGTTCCTGGTCAAGGGCATGTACCTGGGTTGCAGCTTTGATCCCCGGCCTATGAGGGAGGCAACCAATCAATGTGTCTCTCTCACATTGATGTTTCTCTCTCTCTCCCTCCATCCCCATTCCACTCTCTCTAAAAATCAATGGAAAAAATATCCTTGGGTGAGGATTAACAACAACAACAACAAAAACAAAACAAAAAAAGAAAAAGAAAAGAAAAAAATCAATATGATTGTGGAAAATCAATGCAAGAAAAAAATTTAAAAGTTGGATCTTTGAAAAGATAATAAAATTGGTAAACATCTAGACAAGATAATTAAGAAAAGGAAGACAGAAATTACTAATATTAGAAAGTAACGGAGGGGGAAATAAGTAAACGATTTGATAAAATTGAACATCCATGTATGATAACAGATTAGTAATGGAGGGAAACTTCCACTTCTCGAGAAAGAACATGCGCAAAACCTGTAGCTAAACTCATCCCACTTGTTCTTATGATATGAGTGTCTAGGTGAAACACCAGAAAGAGCCCACAACAATAAAGATAACTCCTGGAACTAATGAGAGTATAGTAAGGATTAAGGATACACAAGTCAATTGTTTTCCTATAGACCCACACAGATATACTGAACTGATCTTTCACAAAGGAAGAAAGGCAATTCAATGAAAAACTGAAGTCTTTTAAACAAATCGTGCTGGAAATAATGAATATCCACATACAAACACACATGCAATCACAAAAACAAATGGAGATACAGATATTACACCTTTCACAAAAATTAACTCAATACATCATAGCCCTGGCCAGTGTTGCTCAGTTGGTTGGAGCATTATCCCTTACATCTAACGGTTTGATTCCTGATCAGGACACATATTTAGGTTGCAGGTTTGGTCCCCAGGAGTGGCAACCAATTGCTCTTTCTCCCTCACATCGATGTTTCCCTCTCTCTCTCTCAAAATCAATGAACATGTCCTTGGGTAAGGATTAAAAAAGAACGAAAACCAAAAACACACACATTATAAATTTAAATGTAAAATGCAAAAGTAATAAACACCCACAAGATAACATGAGAAATTCTAGATGCAAATAAAAGAACAAGGTATCATTATACCCTTATTATATGGCTGAAATTCAAAACACTCAGGACATCAAATACTGGTGGAGACGTGAAGCTTCAGGTAATTCTAATTCATTGCTGGTGGGAATGGAATTGTGCATGCCTACATTGGAGACAGAAATTTTCAATACCAAATGTACTCTTACTATGTATAGTAAGATCCAGCAATCACACTCCTTGGTATAGAACTAAATGAATTGAAACCCGATGTTCATACAAAAACCTGTACATGAATATTTGTAGGTACTTTATTCATAATTGGCAGGAGCTGGAGTTAAGCAAGATGTCCTTCAAGAGGCAAACAGACAATTGGTGGTAAATCCATGTGATGAAGTATTTTTCAGTGATAATAAAGAAATGGGGTATTAAGCCATGAAAACAGGAGGAACCTTAAAAGTACATTGCTAAGTGAAAGAAGCTAATCTGACAAGGCCACACATTGTATGATTCCGAGTATATGACAACCTGGAACAAAATTTATGAGCCAATAAAAATCTTTGGGTTTGAAGGATTTAGGGGTTGGAGGAAAAAAATGAATGAATAGGTGGAGCAACTCTCCACTCCATCCTGCATGTTTCTGTGTTGTCCTCCTGAAAGTCCGTGCCCACCCCCCCCGCCAGTGCTGTGCATTCAGTGAATCCCAAAGAACAGCCCAGGGAACCAAGGAATCTGGGAGAGGGGTGCCCTCCTCCAGACCATGGTTTCTTTTTCTTTTTTTATCCTAACTCGAGGACATGCTTCTATTGATTTGAGAGACAGAGAGAAAGGGGGAGAGGGAGAGGCAGAGAGAGCGAGCGAGCCAGCAAGATGGGTTGCTTCCCGTACACACCCTGACTGGAATCGAACCAGTAACCTAGGTCCTAGATATGTGTCCTGACCAGGAATCAAACCTGCAACCTTTCATTGTAAGGAACGACGCTTCAATCAACTGAGTCACATGGTGAGGGCACCATGACTTCTTTCAAGGGACTGGAGTAACAAAGGTCATTCCTCCTGTGGGGGAGAGACTGTACCATGACATGACTGCTGGACTGCAGAGCTAGACCTGGACCAGAGCCAGAACTAGACCTGGACCAGAAGGGAGATTGCTTCTCGCAAAGCCCTTCAGAGACTATCTGATCTTTTTTTTTTTTTTAAATCCTCACCTGAGTTTTCCATTGCTTTTCAGACAGAGTGGACCAGACCAGGGATGGAGCCTGCAACCGAGAGGTATGTGCCCTTAACCGGAATCGAATCCAACACCCTTCAGTCCACTGGCTGATGCTCTAACCACTGAGCCAAACCGGCTAGGGCGAGACTGTCTGATCTTAATCGATATTTTCCTCCTGACATAAACCAGTACCTCTCCTCTGTGTCCCATGGCATGCTGGTTACTTGAACAGGTCATGATCCTGACCCGGTCAAGCATGGAAGGCATTTTCCCGTACCACTAATCAGGCACGGGGGTGGGGGGGGGTGGGATCAGGCCACTAACAGGATTAGAGACCTCCTCCATGACAATTGGTTGCTGTATAAAGTTTAAGGACCCTGTACTTAAGTAGGGTTTGAACTAACCCCTTTGCTGTGCCAAACTGAAATGATGGTGTTGTCCACTATAACCCCAAGGGTCAGGATCTTTGTTGTAATAGATGCAGGGGTAGCAGAGTTACTTAGGGGTCCTGATGAGCCCTCTGGAATCTGGACACCTCCTGGTTGCTGTCCCTGTCTCTTTTAAGGAGTGACCATCTGATGGGCTTACCTCATTCATAGGGTAGAAACATCCTCATACCCCCACCTCAAATCTCCCCCTAATGTGTGGGCAAACCCAGCCTGTCTCACCTTCAATCTAAACACACAGCAGGGATATCAACCCAGGACCACTGTAAGGACAGCTCCATTGCCTTACTCTGCTCACAACTCAAAGTCCTCTGAATGTAAAATCCAGGCCCAATGGAGTCAACCATGCAACAACATAGGGCAGCACAGTTCACAGGAGGGGCTCCCCAGCAAGCAGCAGCTCACAGAGCAGGAGCCTCCAGGTTCTTATCAGCCTGACAGACAAGAAGGGCAAGGGGAAAAGGGAGGGGTGAGGCTTAAGTTTTCACAAGTCAAACATCAAACATGTGGAGTCTGACCACTCATGACAGGAACAAACACAAGTATGGAAAATATGCATTCATACTGGCTTGTTTTTTTTGTGTTTTTTTTAAATCATACTCTTTTATTTATTTATTTTTTAAAGATATCTTTATTGATTTCAGAGAGAGGAAGAGAGAGGGAGAGAGAGATAGAAACACCAATGATGAGAGAGCCATTGATCGGCTGCCTCCTGCATGCCCTTGACTGGGGATTGAGCCTGCAACCTGGGCATGTGCCCTGACCAGGAATCGAACTGCGATCGCCTGGATCCTAGGTTGACACTCAATTGTGGAGCCATGTCTGGCCAGGCCTGGCTTGGTTTTATATATTCATACTGGCTTTGTTTTATATAAAGACACTAACAGTATGAGCAAGACATAATTAAAACTGGTTACTGGAGTGTGGCTGGAGGAGGAGCACAGGAATGGAGCAGGATATGCGGGCAGTGATCTTTTTCAGTTAGTTTCCTCTCTTAGGAATTTTTTAAACATTCCTATGTATTATTTATTTCAAGTAGGAAGAGAAATTTATATATACTATGTTTTCCTATGATTGATAATTATTTTAAATTAACTTTTGCTTTTAAAATGTGTTAGATTTTAACTTTTCTACATAGGAAACCACTCCAAGATTTAATCCTTCAAACACTAAATGATATAAATGTACAGAACATAAAATAAATTTACAAATCCCTTTCTAACTAACAGGAAAAAAAAGCATTATGATAGTTTTCTCTCTGCTATATTTCACACTGCAGATATTTTCAGGCATGAGTAACATATTAAAGCACATTAGGGGTTTGCAATTAAGCCCTGAAACTTACTAGAAATTTCAAATGTTTACATAAGAGGTGTTTTTCTCTTATGAATAAAAATAAAAATTTGAAAATTTCCCTCACATTCATTAAAACAGGAGTTTATTTTCCTTAGGAAGACTTTACCCTTTTCACTGTCAAAGTTCCATAGGGATCTGAGCACACAAAAAATGACCTAAAAATGGAAAAAGCACTTGAGAACTTCAAAACGTTCATCTGACATCTTCAGGTTCTCTGGCCTGAATGAAACCAACATTCTATTTATTCTATTTATTCCCACAGTTATCTTATTCACATGACATCTCTCAACCAAGTTATATTTTAAAAGCTCAAATGCTAATGGAAACTAGAATCAAAGGGTTGCAATCAATACTCAATGGATAAAGAAATCCAAAGGAATTAAACACAGATACTGGAATCAAAACTGATAAGTAGTCTGCTTCTCTACGGTTAGGGAAAAAAACACCCCACATTCAGAAAGTTAAACATAATCGAAAACTTAAGGTCTAGGTACTCTTGCTTGAGAAAGAATCACTGGAGTGGGTCAGTCCCTAGGGCAGCAAGGGAGGGACACCTGAGCAGCCCTAGGAATGAACTCTGGGAGCTCCACACATCTTACCCTTTCCTGTGAACACAGTAGCTCCCTCCTCCAGGCTTCCATTCTCACAAGTGAGGAACCTCTAAGCCTGATTAAGCTTAACTTCTAACCCAAATGATCTCCCCAATTCATAAATGCTCTGTCCATGAGACAGAACCCCCGATTATTGTAGATTTCAATGTGCACAAATTTGAGTGCACCTACACTGCGGATGGAAAACTCAAACATAAGATCTAAAAATGTCTAGGCCCAAGAAACCACAACCAAAGGGGCATCATCCCTCCTCCCCCTCCTGTGCAGATGCATCCCCAGCTTTCCAGAATAGCTTCTCTCAGTATAAAGGCTCCTTCCCTGGTGGGTGTGAGCAGGTAAGACACCAGCACTGGGAGACTCTCCAGGAACTGGGCCTTCAAGTACTTCTCTTTGCAGGCTCAAGGGGGCCTTAGCTTGGGTCACTGACCACCGGCCTCTGCTCCAAACTGGAGTTGCTTTGGACCATTGTTCATATTGCAAAAGACACAAACTCAGTGTTTGAACAATCCAGCAAAATCACTTAAACCCATCATTTATAGAAAAAGGAAGAAAACTGTAAGGGTCTTTTACCAGTTCAACTAGGAAACTGCAAATATCTATTCTATTCAAAAAAGCATGTCATTTAACTATAGTTCTAGAAAAAGAAACCGGTTTGCAATTAATTAATCATACTTGAACATGTCTGCTCTGCAAGTCGAAACTCTGCAATGTGATTCGAAAACACCCCAAACTAAAAAACTGATCTCACTCATTCACTGCACAGGCTCAGGGGAAGAGTGAAAGAATAATTCTATCCAAAATTAAAATGTAATCACAGAACATTTTATTTTTTCTAAAATTCACCTGTTTGTTTGTTTTTTGCCTGTTTGGAACTATTTTATAGTCTTCCAAGCTCTATTGATTAAATACATTTTACCCCTATTGAAAAACGGACACTGAAATAAGTTAGTAAATCTTTGCAAGGTGACAAACCCAGGGAGAAGCGGGCACACAGGACAAAACACCCAGGGAAGAGCCTCCCGGAGGGGTGCAAGGATTTCAAGCAGCAGAGGTCCAGGTAGTCATTCTAGCCTTTCCTCTCATGTAAAATAGCCAAGCAAAATATAAATCTCTAAAACACACACACACGAGCCGTCCATGACTCTGTGGAAAAATAATAAACAAGACATTGGGTCTGTTTGAAATGAACCACGGAGGACGAACAGTTGATAAAGATGTTGTGAATCGCAGAGGGGAAGTTGGCTTCGGAATTCAAGGAGGGACGTGGAAATTCAGGGGTGTTGCCAGCCCCAGGAAGAGACAGGCTAGGGGCACCGAAAGGTTTGGAAAACTCGGGAGAAAACGGGCCCTCTGGGGAGAAAGGAGGGACTGGGGGTCTCACAGACGCACGAGCCCGGGAGACGAGTCACCGCTGCCCCCTGACGACCCTCGCCCTGGTCACTGCGCCAATCTGGGGAGACGCGGGGCAACAGGCGCAGAGCTGCCCCGAGGGGCTCCGGGGCGGGGCTGAAGTCGCCGCGCCTCACGGGACAGGACGCGGGGGTCGGCTGCCAGCCCCGCCCCTACCCTGCGAGCCGGGGGGGACCGCAGTGGACTCGGGTCCGCAGACTCCAGAGGGACCGCGAGAGGCCGTCCCGCCAGAGCCGATTCCAACCGGTTCCAACCAGCCTCTGGTGCCCATCTCTGCACCCCTGCGGCACTCACCATTTCTGTTTCTTGGGTGTCCCTGAGTCCTGCCTGCGGGACTCCCACAACCCGATTACAGCGCGATTACAGCGCGACAGACCGCGCAGCAGAGCAACCAGGGATCCTGAGGGAGCCGCGAGCGCGACCCCAGCGCCACCGGAGCAGCCGCAAGTCCAGGACCTCTCTCAGCGTTGCCCCACCCACCTGCCCCGGCGGCGCCCCTAACTGGACGGTTCGCGAGGCCACGCCCCCTTGTTCCTGAGTGACAGCCGACGGCAGACGCGTGGCTCAGCGAAACAAGCCCCGGCTGGGCCGCGGGGGCCTGACCTCTCCCCTTTCATTGCGCTTAAAGCTGGAGATTTTCGCGCCCGAACGACCTCCGTTGTTTCCGCCGAGCGGTTTGTGAATGCGGGGTCACCGACTTGCGCAGGGAATTCCTGACCGAGTTTCCAAGGGGTGCAAGCAAGAGCGGAGCGCGAGGGCAGCCCGGCCAGGCCCAGCCGAACAGGAGGGTCCTACGTCCAGTGGGGGTCAAGCGGTTGGCTTAGGTGTGAGGCCGCTCACGGAACTCCGACCCTTGTTTAGAAACTCACTTAAACGCGGCCGCGCCATCTGTAATAAGGAGCCTGGCCCCATTTCAGTCTTTGATCCTTGCCAGCCTTGAGCCTTGCACCCCATCCCTTCCCCATCCCCTCTCATTTGGTTCTTAAGAAAAGGAATCAGGTCGCTCAGTAGCTCAGCTGGTTAGAGCATCGTCCGGACCCGCCAAGGTTCATGGGGGGAGGAGGGGATCATGTTTTTCTCTCAAATCAATAAATAAGAAAAAGGTTTTGAATTAGGCAGTAAAACCGGGAAAGAAGGTAAAACCAGAGTAGCACGTTTGTCGTGTGACTGACAGTAAGCTTTTGATTTATGAGACATCACTTCAAAGATAACCGTGTGGAATAAACATATTGCCAATTGTATGATGCAGCTATTCAATAAGCACCTAGGTTGTCCCCACCCATGAAGTTCCCCTTTTAGAAAACCCTGAGTAGCCTAGATAACTACCTCAGGAGTGATCCTGCTTTTCTTCCCCTGCTCTAGTCCCAACTCTTATGCTTTAAGTTCACCAAGGGAGGACAAATCTGCAAAACCCTATCCCTCCTGCCCTTGGACTCCAATAAAGGCAGAGCTCCAGTCCAGTCGCTGTCGCTGTCGCTGTCGCTGTCGCTGTCGCTCTCGCTCTTTCTCCCTGTGACCTCCTTGTGGTTTCCTTGAGACAAGTGAGAGTAAATAGTTTGTGTTAGATGGGTCAGGTACAGAGACTCACCAAGGCAGGAAGCCCACATGCCTAGCAAGGGGCGAAACTGGGAAAACAAGAACCTTGTCCCCAGGGTAACTTATCCTCCCCCAGCATATTGCTGGTCATGCTGTTTAGATCCCTTGACGATAACATCTAGGCCTCAGTTGTATTTCTGCTCCAGGCCCAGGTAAACGGTGAAGCCACCAGACGAGTCACCGGCCAGGCTGCCTCAGGACCAGTTACATTGACTAATGACCCTGGCACTGACCAATCAGTGGAGACCAGGACCCTGAAAAAGCACACCAGAAAAGCTGATGAATATTCTATTAAGACACTCCCCTGAGACCTCCCCTAAGATTCCCGCCTTCAGGAAAGAAATAAAAGCCTCAGGACAAAGGACCTGGTGGGCTAGTTCAACAGCTAGTCCCCTGAACCTGACTCCAAGGCTTCCTTTTCTCTGACTTCCCAGAGAGCTAGGGCAGCCCAGCCTAGGCTCTCCTGGTGCTTCTTCTATACTCAGCCCTTTCTTGTTTTACTGTCCCCAGTTTTAATAAATGTTCCCTCATAGTCATCTGGACTCATGTTGTGAATTTTTTCCTGCACAAAGTCAAGAACTCATACACTACCTGCTGGCCCTAGGCAGACCCGGTAACACCCTGAGAGCTGTGTGGGTAATGAACCTTGTGTGTTCATAGTTTCCTGATGGTTGTAGCCATTATAAGGACCACAAGTTGCCAGTCCAGCTACAACTCTGGTCTGTATAACACGTAGCAGGGCCAGGCCAGGGCCCCAGGCATTCCTAGCCTACGGCATCGCTATCAATAGGCTGGGACTTAAATGAAACAATGATAAAGTCTGTTATCATCGTGAAAAAACAGTGGTTTTAGCCCGGCCGGGCGTGGCTCAGCAGTTGAGCATCGACCTAGGATCCAGGTGATCGGGGTTCGATTCCCGGTCAGGGCACATGCCCTGGTTGTGGGCCTGATCAATGACTCTCTCATCGTTGATGTTTCTATCTCTGTATCTCCCTCTCCTTTCCTCTCTCTGAAATTGATAAAGATATATTTAAAACAAACAAACAAAAAACACACAGTGGTTTTAGATTTTCCTGGAATGAAAAAAAATACACACACACACACAAAAGAATAAAAAAAGAAAAGAAAAAGGAAAAAAACAGAAGAACAACAAAAAGATTTTCCTGGAATGAAATTATATAGTCTTAGAGCCAAATGACTTTTCTTCTACACGAGTCATACCACTTAAGACTATTCAATTTATAAAATAAGAACAAATTATGTACAATGATGTATGTTATTGAAGAAAAAATTATTCTTTTTTTAAATCAAATTTATTGGGGTAACTATGGATAATAAGAGTATATTTTTTTGATACATAATCTGTATGTTGCATTTGTGCGCACCACCTACAGTCAAATAATCTTCTACCACCATATATTTGGCCCCCGTTACCCTTTAGTAGCTCCTCAACCCCTTCCCTCTGGAAACCATCATACTGTTGTTTATGTCTAAAGAAATCCCTGTTACCCATAAAATAAACTGTAATTTCCAAGTATTTCTGATTAAGGTTGGAAAAACTGTAAAGGTAGGAACAAGACACGGGAAAACATTTCATATAACAGAGCAGAAATCTTAATAAAGTGGTTACTTAAATTATATTGAAAAGTTGAAAAAAACAGATGGAAATTTGTCCCAGTTTCTCTGGAGACATGAACGCAGGTGGTCTAACTCCCAATACGTGGCTATACCACCGTGAGGGTTGAGAGACACTTTGGTTCAATGAGACCGAGCCAATAACTCAAGTTCAAGAAGGGAGACGGAGACGAACATAAAGCAAATCACACAGGGTTTCTTTACCAGTTCCCGATGGCTCTCGGCACCAGCAGGCCACCCGGAGGATCCGCTGAAACACACACGAGGTCTGGGGGTGCGGCCCGACGGCGCCGGTCACCGCAGCCCTCTGGAAGCTCCCGCAGAGAGATGGGGGCAGAGCAAGGCAGGGGCAGCTTTCCCGGAGCTGGGGACGAAGCCTGTGGAGGGCAGACAAGCATCCAAGGGTGTGGCCGAAAAGCCCCTGCTTTTAACAGTCCAGTTGAAGGTGCGGTGCGTCTTCAGTGTGTCTTATCGGGGTCCTACAGAGTGCGGGCTACAAAGTGTTAATCTTATCGTGGCACGCAGGCCTCACAGTCACACTCAGTCACACAAAATGGAGTTACTTATTTCAAGTCTAATACACACATCAAACCTATCTTCCTGACTCTAATACACACACAAATCTATTTCTATAACAAAATTCCAGGAAATAAATTAAAAAAGCAAGTTCTACAACCACATGCTAATTAAAGAATAGCAATTTCTGGCTCCAAGACTTTGAGCCTTGCACTCATGGGAACTTCCTCATCTCTAGGACAACTGGTCCTTTTATGCCTGTTGCCCCTACAAATCTTTTCAGAGCCTCCTTTATGTCTTTGTTCCTGAGACTGTAGATGAAGGGGTTCAGCATGGGTGTGACCACCGTGTACATCACTGAGGCTGCTGCACTTGCATAGGAGCTGTGGGTAGCAGCAGAGCTGAGGTAAACTCCTAGGCTTGTACCATAAAATAAGGAGACAACCGAGAGGTGAGACGCACATGTAGAAAATGCTTTATGCTTCCCCTGAGCTGATGGCATTCCTTGTATGCAGGACACGATCTTAGAGTAAGAGTAAATGATAGCAGCCAGGGGACCACCACCCAGCAGCCCAACTCCAAAATACATCACGATGTTATTAAGAAAGGTGTCAGAACAGGCAAGTTGGATCATCTGATTGAGTTCACAGAAGAAGTGAGGGATTTCCAAGTCCATGCAGAAGGATAGTCGCAACACCATTAAGCTTTGCAACAAGGAATACAGGGCATTCATGATCCAGGACAGCAGAACCAGCAGCCCACAGAGCCGGGGCTTCATGATGACCGTGTAGTGCAGGGGGTGGCAGATGGCCACGTACCTGTCATAGGCCATCACGGTCAGGAGGAAGTCATCCAGCCCTGCAAAGAGTAGGAAAAAATATACCTGGGTGACGCAGCCTGCGTAGGTGATGGCTCTGCTCTGCGTCTGGATGTTCACCAGCATCTTCGGGACGGTGGTGGAGGTGAGGCAGATGTCCACCAAGGACAGGTTGGACAGGAAGAAGTACATGGGCGTGTGGAGGCGGGAGTCGGAGCCGACGGCCAGCACGAGGAGCAGGTTTCCCAGCACGGCCACCAGGTACATGGAGAGGAACAGCCCGAAGACGAGGGGCTGCAGTTCTGGGTCCTCTGAGAATCCCAGGAGAAGAAATTCTGAAATTGAGGTATCATTTTCTCTTACCATGTGGTGGAGGTGATGGCTAAGAACAAAAAAATGATATGATTAATTTTCACACAAAACAGACTTAGTTACAGTTGAAATGCTACCATTCATATTTTGTCATCAAGAATTAATATACATCTTTTGAACTCATCTGGTCATCTTTATGGATCTCCCCTGACATCTCTGATTAGGAGTTTCTATCCCACTTAGACCTTTCCCCCAGGAGGTCCTGTATTGCACAACTTTAATGAAAATTGCTTTGCTGCACTTAAGGAATATGCATTGAGTACTGACCATCTCCCTAGGCAGAGGGTATAGGATACTGGGAAACAAAAGCCCTGGAATATAATGGTAATGAAAGAACATATACAGCCCTGGCCTGTTTGGCTCAGTGGTTGCAGCGTTGGCCCTACGAACTGAAGGGTTGAGGGTTCGATTCTGGTTAAGGGCACGTACCTCGGTTGCAGGCTCGATCCCCAGCCCTGGTCG